TCTGGGTGCGAGAAGGTTCACCATCAAAACATGTCTCGCGTCGAATCCACATGTGAGTCACTTGCAAGAAAGCCGCCAGCGGGGCAAAGGCTTCAAGAACTCTAGCGCCACAATGTTTGCAAGGCGAACTGCGCAAACTACTATACACTCCTGAAGTATAGGACAATCGCGCGATCGTTGCTTGATCATCGCTTGAAGCGCACGACGGTTTCAAATTCAACCCTTTCTTTGATATGCGCCGCAACAGCCAGCCGGCAGGCGTCTTGCGCTGGAGATGCGGAGGAGCGCCTGTTGCGTTTGGCTGGTGAGGCGCCGCTGGAGCTTTGGTTGCAGTTGCCAGAAGAACTGCGCCAGGCAGCCGGGGACTACAAACTTGCATATGTTTTTTCTGCCCAGCTTTGCCCATGTAACAAACAAGTTTATTCTAAGTTGGTGTAAGTTGGCGTACATTGGCGTGTGCAATTGTGTTGGGAGTGGGGAAAGTCTGGGTCCAGCCCCTTTGAGCCCGAATATGTTGATATTATATATATATATATACATTGTGTATATAGCCCTCCCTCACAGGTAACAAGCAAAGATGATGCCACTTGGTTTGCAAAAGCCACAGGTCGTTCTTCTGGCAGCCCTTTCTTGGGCCCATGCAGTTTGATCTGCGCAGGCCAGACCACATGCAGAAATTGCTGATGGCTTTCTACCTCGTGGACAACTACTGAAGTTGCGCATTCTCGAAAACAAACGTTTTTTGTCAGAGGCCTGTGGCACCTGTGAGTGATTGAAAGTGCGCAAGAATACCTCAATGCAGCCAGCTGGAAAGTTCACCTAAGTTGCAAGCGCCTAGATGATACGTTGATGTTGGAAATGATGCTAGATGTAGACGCCGCTTGCCTCGTAAACCCATCAAAACGTGGACAGGTAGTCTCCAATTGGACCGGTTGCTGGGCGATATAATTACAGGAATATGCTGGCTCAGATGTCCGATTCATTGGCATTGTTTATCAACTGGTGTTCGATCGACGGTCGTTCGAGTGCCAAAACCATCATTACAATCAAGGATCTTTCAACAACACCTGCTTTGTCAAAGGGTGCCGTGGATGCGGTTCAAATTTGATTCGTGAGTAATGCCAGCTTGTGAAAGCAACAAGCGCAGGCAAACCTAGGATGCAATTAGTTTTGCGTTTTGTGCCAAAGGACCGGCGCCCATTTGTACACAGCAAGTAGAGGGAAGTCCAAGGGTGGATGGGGAAGGTCATGCCAGGACATTGGATACGTGGTGATACCACTGTTGTACAATGTTGTAGGCAGCTTTGCGTGCGGGTGGGCTGCATGGCAGGTCTCAGGCGCTGGTATCTAGCTGGATGCTGCCTGGCCAGGGGCAGCATCTTTTGCAGCAACAGCGGGGGCTTTGCAATGAGCTGTTGCAGCGCTCGCAAGGTCTGTGTGTGTGTGCGTGCGTGTGCGCGTGTGTGTGTGTGCGTTGTGTGTGTGTGGGTGTGGGTGTGAGCGCCTTTTCTTACAGGTTGTCCAAGAGCGTTTGAGGGGTTGAATCGCATCCACACACACACATTTCACATCTTGACATCTCACATTTTCTCATTTAGCGAATCTAGCATCTTCACATGTTACGCCTCTCGCATCTTCACATCTCACATCTGCACATGTTTCTCTTCTCTCACATCCCCACGTTTTCTCTATTCTTACACTTTTCTCCCTTAGGCAGCGGGTGGGACGGACAAGATGCCGTGAAAGTGAACTCTCTGCGTCTGCGGGAATCGCGTCCATTGAAATCCCGAAACTGAGGTAAATATTAATACGAGCGCGCAACCTTTTGCGGAGATCATGCGTGTGCGTGTCAAGCTCCCCGACGACCCTTGCACGTCGAACATCCGAGGCTGAGGTGACACACAATTCTGACACCAGACCTTGAAGTGCCGTTGAACCTGAGAGTTGATATCTTCAAACGGGTGAAGCTGTTGTCGAAGATGAAGGCATGTTGCCAATGTGAGCTGCCCCTGTAAAATTATGGCAGACGTCGCCAAGCTGCGAAGTTGTCATCGAAAATGAAGGTGCGTTGCCAAAGGCGCGAAGCTGTCATCGAAAATTCAGTGGGATGTCAACGGGTTTGTGGCGCAAACGCGCGGCTTACAGTAGGCAGTTTGAAGTGCATGCTGAGCGTGGGGGGTGCCAGTGCCAGGCTTGCAGCTTGCCGCCTTACAGCGCAAGCAATACTTGTTTGATGCTGATCAACACTGGGCAGGACCACTATTCCTTTTCTTTAATATAATATCAGGGGAAGCGGGCCGCGGATATCCACCTAGCTTTGCAAGCACGCTTGGCAAGAAGCGGCCAATGCGCCTCTCTTGACCAAGACCTACATGGCTCCCGCGCGTGGGCTCTTTGTCATTCATTCATTCATTCATTCGTTCCTTCCAGTTTCAGTTTCAGTTTCAGTTCAGTTTCATTTCGTTTCGTTTCGTTTTCATTTCATTTCATTTCGTTCACTCATTCGTTCATTCCTCCTTTCCTTCGTTCGCTCAGGGCCAAAACCCACGATGCTGCGGGGCTGGCGCGGCTTTCCTAAGCCGGAGCCATGGACAGGGAGATTGTGATCTTGTTGATCACTGACGTCTCTCTTGGCAGGCACTTTGCCCATGATAGCGGAAGAGCCCCTGAAGCACAACCCTTTTTTATTGAGGGCGCTGGTGAGGATTCTTGCTTCTGACAGCGACTCGCCATCCACCTGTTCATCTTGGCATACACTTCCGCGCTGACCTGTTCACCGCCCAAGCATCGATCCCCTGAGTTGAGAAGAAACTCTTGGTATTGGCCTGATAGCCCCTCACCTCGGTCCCAAATCCTTAGCCACACTTTGTTCGGTAAGCCTCTTGGCCTTGTGGAGTTGCGCGCTTGCGTGGGGGTGATTGAGGCAAACCATACCAGCAGGAGCCTCGACTCCTTTGATTGCAAAGGTCCAGAAAATCCGTCAGACGGGCCAGTTTGGGCCGAGATCGGGCACGATCAGATTGCTTGCCCACACGCGCGCAACACCAGCAAGAGTGTTGCGCGGCATTCCTGATGAGTGTGTTGCAGTGGAGCAAGACCGATTGTTGACCACTCTTGGGAAAGGCGCTTTCTTGTAGGGGAGTTTTCGGATCTGAGTGAACGCATTGCCTCCTGGCAATACGACCTGGTCATGCGCGCAGCCTATGTATGCGCCAGCTCCCTCTTCAAAATCCATCGCTTGGACCAAGGCTTCAACGCCACTGGCGGCTCGTGCCCCTACGACCCTCCAATGAGGTGATCCAGCTCCCCATCTTCGGGGGCGCCCAAATGATACCCTACATGCGCATGGCAGTGATCGCCCACTACGGCGCGCGAACTTCTGGCCACTACCTGGAGAAGAATGATGCAAGCCAGCTCATCCTGCAATCAGCCCTTCCTGCTCACGCGGCGTCTACGGCGTGCGTCTTGTTTTTGAAACGGCGGCCCACTGGCCCGGCAGCGGAATCTGAACTAGTGAAACTGCTCCAGTTGTTGAACTGACGCATTATGAATTGATTCATTCAGTCAGTCAGTCAGTCAGCCAGCCAGTCAGTCAGAAGTCAGTTGTTCATTCCGTCTCTCCTTCCTTCCTTCTTTCCTTCCTTTTCCTTGCCTTCCCTTTCCTTTCCTTCCCTTTCCTTTCTTTTCCTTGCATTCTCTTGGGTTCCACTCTCAGTGGTAGCTGCTCCTGCTCCTTCTGGCACAGCACCTGTACTCGGTGAATCGGCGCCTTCCCCTTGTATTTTGTAGGTCCTATAGGTCCCCTGCGCGTGTCTACGCTACACGTGTGTAGCGCCTGTTGTTTGTAGTTACTCTCTTCATGTAGCTATACAGCTTAGTTCATTTGCTTTTGGCTCAGGGCTCAAGACTGAAGCCCGCACATAGACTGCACTGCGCCACAGAAAAGTGAGCTCGGTGACACTCGCTCACGACTCCGCGTTCGGCGTACTGGGTGTATTCGATCAGGTCCAGTGTTATTGCACTCACTGCCACTTTGGGGAACTTACTGTACCCCTCACAGCTGTGGCGGAGCTTGTGTCTCTTACTTCGTACCGGTCAAATTTGCTTCGTGCAGATTTGTCCGACATTGCGGACGAGAGACAACCAAGTTGCCCGCTTGTCTGAAGAGTATAGACCATGGTCCAGATCTTTAACATAGATACGGACAACGAATGAGAGTACAGTCAGGAAGAGTCGGAACCCGAAGAGGCATTTGCTGGCACAAGGTTCGAGGTATCGACCCCAGCAATCAAGGTCCTCAGGTTCGACGTTCCGGACTTATGAAACAAAACCAGCACCAGGTGTCAAAATGGCGCCAAAGATTCTCCCATCCTTTGATGGACAGTCATCGTGGTTTGAGTTTGAAGATTTGATAGATGACGGGGTAAACATTACCACACTTTCCGCTGAGAAGCTCGGTCCTTCGTGCAAGAAAATGCTTGACAATGATTCAATGAGCAGCTTCGAAAGGAGAGGAACAGCATTACGTACTTCAAGGAGACATTGCGCCCCTGCTTTGTCAAAGGAGCAAACCATGTTTTTCTCCTGACGCAGCTCTTCAGGACCTGGTGCGGAAACGGGGAATTTGTTAGTTGGATCGCTCGTTTTGAAGTCGCAAGTAAGAAAGTCATGGAAGCCTGGATGGGCTTGTTAGACCGATCCACTGTTCCTCAAGCTGATGATTTCAACTTTACTGACATCCTTTCGCAACAGCAATACATGCCACTTCAAGAAACTCAAGATCCACAGGAACGTAAAGAAATTGCAGAGAGAATCCGCGCTGAACACATTGATGCCATGAAAACAGCGCATCGTGGTACTTTTCCATTGTCTTGCAATTTGATGTCGCTTATCTTTCTTGTTCAGTCCGTACTTAGCAGTCAAAGGCTTGTTTCTTGACCTTTTGCGGAACCGCCGCAGGAATTGCCGATCCTTCAATCCGCCGGCAGAAAAGATCTTGGATGTGTGCTCTTGTGAACGGCGCCAAAGTGGCTGTCGTTGCTACTTCGTCATCGCCTTTGACGTTGGTTGCAATTAATGTCAACTACGGCCAGACGAGAAAATCATCCTTGACAGGACACGCAGAGGCTTGTGGGCAGGAGTTGGACGCAGTCATCTTGACGAACGCGGAGTCCAAGCTGGCGACGTATTGCGTGGAAGAAGGCGCTCCTGCGCCAGCGCAGCGCAGGTGTGAGCGGGCTGTTAAAACAGGGGGCTGGGAAGTTTTAGGTGTTGAATTCTAGCCAAAAAGGAGCCCGCCATTTGTGCCAGGTTGAAGCCGAAGCTATTCTCCGCAATCTCCGCAATGGTTGCCAGCGCAACACCTGAGGAGTGGTTCCATCGACGCTCGGGCGATTGGAACCAGGTCCGAAATGCTGACAAGTTGCCTGGAGACTGGTCTGGCCGATGCGGGTTTGGCTTGCTGGGGAATTTTGATGAGGCCTACGACTTCCTGCTCAGCTTGGGTCTCTTGTCCGATGGGCCTGCATCCAAGGAGAAAGCCAAGGAACCCGTACCAGAGTGCCTTCAACAAGCTCTTGCAGTTTGGAACCAGCGCGCCACGAAAACGAACGGGCGCTATGGAGAGAAGCTTGCTAGAACCATTAGCATGGGGATCACTTGCAATATGCACCCTGCGCAATACATCCCTATATGGAAAGAGGCGAGGTTGGTTGCCACGCAGCTTCCACCAAAGAACGGTTTGTCATCTCCACTGGCCGCCCTGTGCAGCCGCATGAAGACATGCCGGCAGATTTCTGTTGCCCTCCAGGACAGGTGTTCTGCGCGATGGGTGTTGTGTTACAGCATTTTAGATTCTGTTTGCTCGATTTGCTTTGCCCAGGAGTTTCCCGGCACCGATGGGTTCCCTCTCACACGAAACTGCGGAACTGCTGGGCATAGCCAAAGAGGCTGCTTCGCCAGATGCTGCTGCTCAGGAGTGGAAAGACGTTGGTCTTGAAGAAGAAAAAGCAGTGCAGCTCACCCAGAATGCAGCGGGCGACTATGTCCCACCAGAAGATGGGTACCCTGTGAGGCTCTTGGATGGCAAGATGAGCCGCCTACGGTTCAAACGTTCTCCTCCATCAACATCTGGGTTTGAAGCTCAGTGGCGCGTTGCCAACAGAAGCTTTGCCATTCCAGCAGAGTGCTCCCTGATGGCCGCTGTCTCCCGAGTCCTTCGACCAACCTCACCAAGTCATTGCCCTCACTCCGGAGGCGGAGTCTTGGCACATGTCCTACCAAGGTGGAATGAATGCGCAAGCCCGTCTGTCTCGCGAATCAGGGGATGTTCAGGGTGGCGCTCGCTTTGGAGCCGCTCCGTGGCAAGTGGGAGTTTTGGCAGCTTTGCTCCTGGTGTTTGAAATCTTTGTGGGCGCGCACAGTGTAAAAACTCCTGGACGGAGGGATTTGCAGGTCGCTCCAGAGGGCCTACGCTTTGCTTCTTGGCACTTTGTTTCTTGTTTGTTTATTTTCAAAAACCCAACATCTTTGGTTGGCGCTATAATCGCGAAATCAGGTCCAGAAGCTGAAGCATATTCATATTGCTTTGGGAGATGCAGCCGCTAGCCCAGACCATTTTCCCCAGCAGCCAAGTCCGCAACCTGCTTTCGATTTGGCAACTTTGCGTGTTCCTTATCAGACGGAAGATTTTGCTTCGACCCAGCCTGGTCCCCGGACTTCGACTTCCCCAAGCTGGCGAGGAAGAAGAACTTGAACTTGAACCTGAAGTAAGAAGATGCGGAACCTGGGCCAAACTCGCTTGAAAGGCCTCCAGACAGCGTGGCCGAAGTCGTGGAGGACTTACCGCCCCAAGATCCACCCCTAGGCGAAAAGCCGCTGGTTCTTGATGAGGTGCGGGCAAGTGATTTTGGTTTCGGCGAGAATGGCGTCACAGTCCATCCTGACGGTCTCTTCAGCCGTCACTGGACAGACCGGGCATTCCTGAAGCACACCTTGCTGACCGGCAAGCCAAAGATTACTCGCAAAGAAGCGTGTGACAAAATGCGCGCCAGCAGGGAGCGCTTCCGAAAGAGAAATGGGCAGCGGTCATGGCTGCAGCCGCAGAGCAGCGTTCCAGCATCCTTCAGCTCCAGGGTGAGACCTTGTGTTTGAAAGTGATCCCAGACACAGCGCAGGGCAAGGTGAAGTACCACAATGACTTGATGAGGGCTTGTGGCCTGACTTTGCGGGAGCTGGTGGCCGCCATGGAGAAAGCGTCCAGCGACCAGGAAAGGAAGCGCCAGGAAGATCGGCGCAAACGGCCCAGAGATGAGGAGTGAGCCGTTGTGAGATATCCAACAGTCGCTAAGGAAGTGTATGAAAAGAGTTCATCCGCAGGTGTTTGGTTGTTCAGGTGCAGGCAGCCAAGTGGGTCCTGCAGAGCCTGCGTGAAACCAATCCACCGGTAGATATTCCACCCGCCGAGCCCTTCCCAGAATTTGGTCACGACAATCTAGATCCGAACTTGTCTCCCGTAATTGCAGACTTGTCAGCCACAACAGCAGCGTAGGCAGACCTTGCGCCTACACTGTGGCGCAAGACTAGCAGGAGCGGTGGCCAGGGATGGAGGCGTTGAAGTTTGGAAAAAGCAGGGCGTACATCAGAGATTCTGGTGGGCATTCCAAAGCGTGATCACTTCAGTTCAATGAGGGTGACTTCTGTGATTTTGGGCTTCAAGCCCCAAGTATAGGTGAGGCGCTTCCGTTCCACCGCATCACCCTTCCAGGGCAGGTTGATTGTCAGACGCTGCCAACGTTGGTGTCTGAAGGACTATCGTAAGTCGTCTGAAGGACAAAAAATTCTTTCCATGTCCAGTATATAGACCACCGGAACCGCAGACCGGACCACTGGACCAGCGCATGAGAGGAGGGGAGCAGCGGACCGGCGGACCAGCGGACCAGGGGACCGGCGGACCAGCGGACCAAAAGGACCAGCAGACAAGCAGACCAGCGGACCAGCGGATCGGCGGACCGGCGACCCAGCGGACCGGCGGACCAGCGGACCAGCGGACCGGCGAACCAGCGGACCAGACAACCGCGCGATCATAAGTCTCGTTTTGACACCATTCCGACGGAAGCGCCAGACGTTGGCTTCCTCCTGATGTAGTGATTGTCGAAAGAGGCAAGGCCGGATAGTCGCGAGCATGTACCGGACGAGCCAAAAGTTGAAGAGAAGAAAGAACCAGGGAAGATAAAGCCTAAGTCAACAGTCACCATGCCCATAGCCTTAAACGGATACATGACAAACTGAGTTCTCTTACCGAGCTACTGCGACTTCATTTGAAACATTACCACACACACACATGTCTACTGATCAAGGTAGAAGAAGAACTTCTGCTTTGAAACTGCCAGAAGACATTTACAACAGTATGACGCAGTGGTGAAGAGTTGTGATACATGCCAGAAATCGAAGAGAGCACCTTCACGCGCTAAGGTTTCAGGCATGCGCAGTGAGACACTCGGTGAACTCACTTTTGTTGATCATGGTATGGTTGATGTTGAAGGTGGCAAGAAGAAACTTGTTTTTCTCATACTCTTTGACGGTGCTACGTCCTTGACAACAGCATATGTGGTTAACACTATGAGTTCCAAGGAAACCATGGGTTTGTTTCTTGAATCAAATCAATCCTAAGACGGTTGTAGGTGATCAAGTGTTCAGGCAGCCCGATTTTGAAGACTTTTATGCTCATAGAAACATTAGGCCTATTGCACTAGGACGAGGAACACCGTGGCCTAATCGAGCAGAAGCTGTAGTTCGTACCTTCAAGAAACAGGTAACACTAATGTTGAGTTCCTTGGCAGATGATCCCGCACTAGCGGATGTCACTTATCGACAATTGGTCCGTCAAGCTTGCCTTGCCAGGAACTCCTCCGTTACGTACGGTGGTGTAACTCCACTAGAAATGGCATGTGGTCGTAGACCCGCAGACAGCCTGAACTTAGAGACTGCTACTCCTTCTCAGCTGACCTCAGATGGTCCAACACCAGAGAAGAAGATACAAGCAGTTAGGATGCTTGCTACCAAGGCCTATCTAGAGGCAAAACAAGCAGATGATGTTAGACGTGACTTGAGTGCTAAATTCAATATGTCATCAGGCCCCTTGCTTCCAGGTGACAAGATATACTACTGGGCTGAAGACGAGCAAGATCATGTCAGATGGTAGCCGTGGCGGTAACTGGATAAACGTAAACTACTATGACCATAGAAGGTTCGATTGTACGTGGAAATGTAGTTTTCTTCCTGTCAGCCACTCAGCCACTCAGCATCTTGAGTGGCTGAGTGGCTGACAGGAAGAAAGTCTGAGTGGCTGAGTGG